CCGGGATTCCAGGTGGAGATGTCCTTGGACTGACACAAAGGAGCTCCTGGAGCAACTCTGCCATGAAGAAGTCTCCTGGCAGGATCCTGCTGTCCTTCTGTGCTGACCTGGCTGGCTTTCTTCCCACAGGGACCCCCAGCGCTGCGAGGCTCTCCCTGATCGATGATAGAAATAGGCTCCTGCTTGGGAAGGTGGCGCGGGTCCCTGCTGAAGCTCACACCAGGGTCCTTGCTGAGCAGCAGCGAGGCAGGCACCGGGTTGGCAACGCCAACGTAGGTGCCTGGAATGGTGCTGATGAGCGTGGTGTTCTTCACCCAGGAGCCCTGCTCACCGTTGCGCAGGAACTCGGGGAAGATGACTAAGGGAGGGGTGGTGCCAAGACATGAGGTGACGCTGCTGCCCGTAGTCTGGGCCGCGCGCTGGGACTTGGACAAGACCGTGGTGAGAAGCGCTTTGCCGCTGGTGTGCACGGGTGTGAGGATGGGCATAGGAGGTGTTTTGCGTTGACTGGGTGGAGGCAGTTTCTGACGATTGGACTTGGAGGAGAGATCGAGAGGCATCTCGCTGCACTCTGGAGAGGAGACCATCTCACGCTCTAGCTGTGGAGGGGACTTCAGAGGAGAGAGTGAAGTGGCAGCCCCCGGTGCGTGCGGCTCGGGAGCGGCCGGGGCTCTGGCATGCGCACCAGTGCCAGAAGAGGGAGCAGCGCTCCCACACGATGCTGCCAGCGGAGGCTAGCTGGATGAGAGGGAAGGGCCAGCGGTGGACGGGGGAGCGCCCTCGGCAGCAGCCTGGGCACCGCTTCCGCCTGAGGGCGAAGGGCAGCTAAGCTGATTCACCTCCACAGACACCACTTTGGCGTCTGAAGCCAAGGGTCTGGTGACGGAGAAGGTGTAGGGGTAGGAGCGCAACTCTGGGGAAGCGATAATGCCCGGCAGGCAACGCTCGTGTAGGTAGGAAGGCAGGACAGGGAGGGTGAGCGTGGAGGAGACCCCCAAGGTGGCTGGAAGTGTAGCCACGCTGAGCGGCTGCCCGCAGCTGGGTGGTGGGATGTACACCAGCGACTGGCTCGGGCTCAGAACTGCCCCAGCCTGAAAGGACAGGGGCATTTTTTGCATAGCAGGGGCCTGAGATGTGGGAAAGCACACTCTGTTCAAAGTAAAAGTAGCAGGAGTGGAGGCAGAGGTGTTGCAGCTGGAGACGACCACAGACAATGTCCCTTCTGCCAGCACGCCTGGCCCTTGTGCTCCAGTGCTTGGGGTGGTTTTCTCCTTCCCGGCAGGCTCGATCTCTGGAGCCACGGAGCAGGCTGGAGGAGCATCAGCCTGCTTGTCACTGTGAGGATCTGCAGGTGTCCAGGCAGCATCAGCACCACTGCTCTCCTGCTCGGCAGTTCTGGGGATTGCGGGCTCCTGCCCTCTGCCATCCCCCTGGCTTGCCAGAGGGCCCAGGGCATCATCTTTCACAGTCTTTCCCGCACACTCTGGGTTTGGGTTGGGATCAGGTGGCTGCTCTTCCAGTTTGGGCCCAAGCTTTTCCTCCACCTTGCCATCAGCATCCAGCCCCTGGGCACTGCTGCCACCACCACTGACTGCTGTGAGCTCCACCTGCAACAAGAAGGGAGAAGGTGTTTCTGAGAGCTGTGCAAGTGGCTCCCAGCGAAGCAGGCAGGACCTTCTCTCTAGCCCCCCCAACAACACAGAGGCAGAAGTGGCAAACAGCTCTTGCTGAACTAGAGCGCTGTTTTGCCCTTACTGCACCTAGGTGCACCCCTCTCGAGAAGGAGCCCACGGGACCCGTTAGGGTAGATGCTCTTGCTTGGCCTGTTCCGTCAGGGAAAGGCCTTCTTGGACCCAGACATGCACAGAAGGAGCTCACCTTGGAAAGGCTGCTGCTGACGCAAAACTCTTGAGACCCCAAGTGCTGGGAGCTGCTCGTTTTAGACTCTTCATCAGAAAGGGGGGCTCTCCTAGCCAAGGAACAAGACACAGCATTATGAAACCCCAGGATACCATCCCAGCATCCTACCCCTCCCTGTCCCCGCATGGGACAGCAGAGCAGCTGGCAGCCTGAAGAAGCGTGCCTGCTTCAGGTAACCAGCTCCTCGTCATCACATGTTACATGGCGGGTACTGGCCACTGCAGACTGAGGGGGTGAGGAGCACTCCTGTCCACTGCATTCCTCCCCCTCCCGGAGCTCTGCCCGCTGGATAGCACCTCCTCACACATAAATGCTTACCCTACAGCTCCTACAGGCCTGACAATGGCTCAGCAGCTCTGTGCACCTTCCTTACCCACGGCCATTTTGACCCCCCCAGGTCTCACCACAGGCCAGGCCAGCCCTCCCTGACTGCGCTGCGTCACAGCCCAGCTCCACACACCCGCTCCTGTCCCCTCCGCTTCCCGTTCTGCCCCACCACACGTTTCCAGTCCCATCCTCCTCTGAGCCCCATCCTGCTTGTCTCTTCTTCCACAGGCACTTCCTCGTTCCCGTTCCTCCGTCTCCCAGCCACGCTCACTCCCTGCCCTGGGACTTCCCAGCCCAGCCCTGCTGCTCTCCTCCAGCCTCAGGTGGAGATCTCCCTCCAGCGCCAAAGCTCTTCAGGCTCAAGCTGTCCGTGACGGGAGCAGCGGGTGTCTGCAGCCACCCCGGCGTGCAATGTCCTGCTGGCCTGCACGTTTGACCCTTTCTCTTTGGAAGACAGCTCCTGAGCGGAAAGCCTAAATTCAGGATAAGGACTGTGAACTCCACGGAACTGGGGCGCACTGAGAAGACAGCTGTCCTTGTGGTCTGTGAGAAGACTGGACAGGCAGCAGCGCTCCTGTGTTCAGTGCCCTGCCCCGGGACACTCCTGCCACGGCAGTATTTACCCGGTGACGACTCTCTGGTCTTTAAGGGTCATTTGGACAAGCTGCTGGTGCCAGGATAAAACAGCTCGAGTTTAGTTTCTGCTGATGACGTGATTTCTTCTGGAGTTGCTCCCCTACCTCCCAGGCTTTCACAACAAAGCAACAGACACAAGCTATGGGAGGAAGCTTTCTCCTTGGGCCCCCCTA